ATTGAAAAGCATGTTAACACGATAATGTAGGCTTGAGTTCATTATCTGACGCATTCATATACACACCAGGAACCTGGAAACTTAAAAAATACTGAATTACCAAAAAACATTTTAAAAACAAACATGTTTCATTGATATATAGACAAAAATGAATATTAGGAACTATATTTATCAAACATTATACTGGGTAAGTAAAAATTGTTTCTGGGCCAATGAAATGTGAAAGTCACTTGCCCGAATCCTTAACGTCAAACCCTGGATCTAGTTTTTTTGTTTCTAGCCCGGTGTCCTTGAGATGGCACTCTTTGTTACAGTTCTCTAAAAGTGAGTTTTTCATTTGGTGAGATGTTTGTTCATGACAGATTTTAAACAGTGAGATTATGGAATAATAATCAAACATTAATGTTTTTAAGGCTTTTAAAATCTTTAGGGTGAGGGGCAGGAGGGCAGTCAAGTTCTCTGCATCTATAACCTTCATATACAAGTTCTGATAAGCATTAACAGGATAAAGATCTGCTCAAACACCCCAAATACAGAATATATTTTACTGTAACTCCATGCAGATTAAAAAAATAAGATAAACATAAAACACAAAACATGAGTTCCGTGCAGTCTGACACATGCAGAGTTTCACCCGTCTAAGCACTGCCAGGCAGGCTTCGCTGAGCAGACTGACATGCCACAGACATTAAAAAAGGCGTTATTCAGAGAAACCATCAGATGCAGGCACCATGGAGCACGGGGAGCAGGAACGGGCCATCACAAGCAGAAACATCAGCACAAGACACCGAACAAGGCACTGAATCCCAGCAAACCTCTCAGGGCTAACAATCAGATAAACCTGATCAGATGGATGGGAATACAGAAACAGGTTTAGAGGTTTTTAATGCTGTAAAACGGGAGATTTTATTCCACTAGAGGAAAAGTGAAAAGGGCTGAGAGGTTTGTCTGGGATTGGGGAGGCAGGCTAAGGTGGATGTCCGGGACACGGGCGATGATACTCGGTCACTCACTGGGTGTCGCTTTGGGACGTCATAGACCCCTTCCTTCTGCTGACTGGTGGGAACCTACACAATCAATCAGTGTGTTGAGAGAACACCCGAGAGAGCCGGTTACCTCCAGATCAATGAGCAATAAGACAATAAACATCCATGTTCCAGTACAGCCACATACAGTAAGGGTAGCCAAAACCAAACCCTGCACCTGGCTTACTGTTGCTGGTGCAACAATTGTGCATGTGTGTGGTGCTGGGGTGATGGGGATTAAAATCAGTGGAATGAAAGCTGATTGACTAGGTTAATAAAGGCCTTATCCAGGCTGCTGATCACACCCTCAGACATGTAATAACTCACATTGTCACACACAGAGACATGTAATATCTCAGTGTCAGACAGACTGCTTTGTATGTCTGCGATCAGAAGATGTGACGCCACGATGCATGCATGAACCAAACAGCTTCTTTTGTTTCCTCTCTGCACTCATGCAGCTACAGTGCCTTTCAAAAGTATTCACACTCCATGAACTTTTACATTCCTTTTTTTTATTTTTTATTGCCATTTACTCTCTGTATTTAGCCCGTCCCCTTGGGGAGCAGTGGGCGGCCGTTTTGCCGTTCCTCAGAGACCCAGAGTGGCAGTCTGTGGGAGTGGGGCTCGAATTGAGAAACTATGGATTCCAAGCGTAAAGCCCTAACCACTACGCCGCCACTCTGCAACCTGAGACTTTATTTCAACAAGATATCTTTGATAAACCAATGCAAATCGATGCAAAGTAGTAAAATAGAAGGAATATGTGTTTTTAACTTGTTTTTCTTCACAAAAATGTTTTGACATGTACTTGCTGATACTTTTTGTCAAAAGTCTCGAGTCGCACTTAAGTCGCATATTTAATGACTTTAGACTCGACTTAGACTTGCATTTGAGGGACTTCAGGCTCGACTGAGACTCGTGATTTCTGACTTGTGATCAATATTTTATTTTTAAGTGTTTTTTGTTTTACTAACTTGACTGATCGCCGCTCGCCTTACCCGCACACAGCAGAGCTAAAAAAAAAACCCAAAAAACCCGGCAGAGTGTCTGTCAAACTGTCACGTAGCTCTGACGTGTCACTGATGCAACGCTACGTGACATATATGCCCGCGCGCATGCATGCATGATCGACAAGCCAAGCTTTAAAAACTTCATGGCCGTCGTAGAGGAGAAAAAAATATGTTGTGAATAATGTTGTGAATTGGCACTAAATAAATAAACTGAATTGAATTTAAAATCCTGCCCGCCAAGTCGGTTCTGTCTGTTCCAGGGCATTAAGTTACAAAAAGTTATTTCTTTTATGAAAGAATTGTTATTGTCCTGGTATTTATTTAGGGTTTTTCTTTATCTGTTGTAGTTGCTAACCTCATATGTATTAATAAAAAGCAGGATTGTGATTGTTTTTTTTTTCCACAGTCCTCATTTTCACTTAAAAATAAAAGAGCAGACATTTACTCCTAAAACTAGAAAAAGTTGTAACCACAGATGTCAGGTAAATACTGTAAGAAAATTGTTGTTTTTGAAAGAAAAAAATAAAGATGCAAAATTTAACTGGAAGAAAATTGCGTGTGTGCTTTTTTTAATTGTATTTTTCATTTACCTGTTCAAGATAATGATCATTCCATAGATATAATAGTGACCTTTAAGCTATACCGTCTCAGTGAAGGAGATGAAAACACAAGGAGAAACAGGAAAGCACACAAATTATTGCACTTATTTTAATTAATCGAGTGATTAGAATTTATTGTGCGATTAATTGATTATTGTGACAGGCCTTCTCAAGACTTGAGACTTGCAAAAAATGACTTGTGAACGTGTCTGTTTTGGGGATATTCAGTTCAGTTTATTTCTAGATAGAGTCTGACTGGAGGAAAAGTATCTGGAAATATTTCAAACCAAGCCACCCGTTTTCAGATGGACTTTGTGACTCTTCTTTGATCTCGACCTTCCCACATGGGCGCGGCCTCCATGTTTAGTGTTTCATCTGGAGGGTGACGGCAAGACGCCATCATCAACTCCTAAAGGTTCAACAATTTTCCATTTAGCTTCTAACAGCTTTTCCTCATAGGTCAGATGATCCACCCGGAAAAAAGAACAGATTTGTAGCGTGCATTACTAATAGATACTCTGTAGCTCCCCCAAAGACACCCGTCAGCTCTGATTAATGATCTTCTTCCGTGGCCTTTTATTCAAGGATCTGATATTTAAAGCTCAGGATATGGTTTTATAACCTAAGCATACTTTAAACTTCTCCATTTAATCTCTATTTCTTTCATGCTAATTGAAGTTCTTGACCTAAATTTAATCCTGTACAGACCAGCAGAATGTAGAGGGAGATTAAATTTGCACTCTGATAATCAGATAATTCCTTGCACTGGATTATATTTAGAGAAAGAATAAAGGTGGTTGATTACAGCTGCAAACCCTGGTGTTTGGATTTAAATTAGTCAAAGGTTATGAGAGCCATGTCTCCTTGTGATATAAAATCTGAAATTAAAACATGAAGGTCTGTGGTTCCTTTTGCAGGGCACTGTAGCTGTGCTCTAATTAGAGCGACTGGTAAATGAAAAATGACCCAAAAAAAAAAAAATAAATCTGGACGTAAATCTAGCACAGCTTCCTTCATCCAATCACCTCCTTTCAATGCCTTGTTTACATCTTTCAGATGCATATTTGGAGAAGCTGCCATCTTTATTCATTCTGCAGCTCCTCTGTGGCTGCAGGCTGGATGAGCCACTCGTTACTTACAGCACGCCCTGATGTATGCGTCGGGATTTGCTTGTATGTGTGTTTGTTTTTGTATGATTGTGCACGTGCCAGCGCACCCCACCGTCCACCCCTCCACTTTCAATCCGTTTTATTTAAAGATCAAACGAGGGGCTGGTGATTAATCTCTCTTCCCCCTCCACTTTCTTTCATCTGTTGGTGAACGTGGGGAACGGAAGCAGGGTTAACACCCCCCCTCCTCATCCACCCACCCACCCAATCATCCCTCGCAGGTCTGCCCCAGTCTCTGAGGAGCAGCGGGAACGACTCATCTCCCCAGACTTGCAGGCTTTAGCCGGATCGGCCCTCGGGAAAATCTTGGCTGCTACATTTCAGCCCATATTTACAGCCTTTTACTTCCAGACTGCGCATTTTATGCTTTAAAAACAGAAGCTATTAATTTTATGCACAGGCCACAACACATCTACCCCATTAAAGAGCAACACAGCCTATAAAGAGTGTCCGGAAAATGGAAGAGATTAAATCTCCAGAACTTTAAATGCCTTCAGCAGCTCGTCAGCAGTTTACTCACAGTTACTGTAGTTTAAAGCTAAGCAAGACACAAGCAGAGGATATGAGCTTCTGAGTACCTGATAAATGCTTTCCTCTGATTGGTCACGGATGGGTTCGTGTCCGGCCTCAAACACAATGTACTACAACGTCAGCAGCAAAGGGGGGGATAGAGGGGAGAGAAAAAGAAGAAGAAGCAGGAGGAAAATTGGGTGATAAAGAAAATTGAGAGAAAAGTAGGGAAACTGCAGAGGTGATTAGTAAAGAGCATCGTCATTAAAAAGCAGTTGAAGAGCAGATCTCTGCGATACATGGAGGAGACTTTAAGCAGAAGAAAAAAACAACATTAACACACACTTCAGCTACACATGCACTTATTTCTGAGGTTGCATTGGCACACAAACTCAAACGAGGTGTCGCTAATATAAGCAGAACCTCTCCCCGTTATTCGGTCCACTACTTCCATAATGTCCCCAAACAAGAGCTGTCTCCCCACAGTGCACACAGAGAGGAGCAAACTACGAGGCAGCAGGTGACAGTGAGGCGATGCGATTGGTCAGGGAGTTACCTGGTAGACCGGGTCTTCCAGGTCCTCCTCCAGTATCGTCTGAAGCGGAGCACCGGCGGCAACGAAGGAAGGAGAGAAAAGAAAAACCGGAGAGGAGTGAAGCAAAGAGTTCAGCCGTAAGCAGAAAGACTTCCCGGCATTCAGATAATCGTCGGGTAATCATTAAAGAGAAAATTACAGGGAGATAAAAAGAAATTAAGCAGCAGATGTAAAGAGGGGAAACAAGCACAATGGTACCATTACCGGAACCTAAAAGGGTTCACACGGCTTTCTTCTATCTAAATTCAGTTCTCACCTGTCTCATCTGTCAAAAGACTGTGGTGTAACGCTGGGAATGCTTGACAGATGGTTTAAACAAGAAAAAAAACCCAAGGAAAGCTTGGCGAGTACCTGGTAGACCGCCTGCTCACACTGCTTGTCTTTCTGGGCCTTCTTCTCCTTCTCCTCTCTCTGCTTTATATCATAAATGAGCTGGAACAGGTCCCGCAGGTCCAGAATCACAGGCTCAGCCTAAAACCACAAGAACACACGTTAACCAATCACACCCACCTAAAACTCACACATCGCTGCTCCTGGCTCCTGGTTCCCATAATCATTGACTAACCTGAGGTGACTAAGACCTGATTGTCCTTCAACTCAAAGCTGATTACATTCTGTTCACAATTTAATGACATTGACGTTTATTTAGATGATAAACACCAAATGAAAAGTAATTTATATAAACTTATGAATGGAAGGAAAATAAAATACAAAACAGTGCTGCATTAGCTTATTCCCAGCACTCTTTACATCAATCCCTAAAAGAAATCAAGTCCATAAAGACAAAGGAATTCAGGTAAATAATAGATAATAAGTTATAAAAAACATTTAAATCTTTTAAAATCTTGCATCACCTGGAAATGAAAGTTAGAAAGGAATAACTGCAAACTAAGGCATGGACCCTACGTTAATAGACATGCAAGGCAAGGAGACAATAGATCAGGGAAGCAGGTGAGACGCCCATGGTAACTCTGGAGGAGCTGCATAGCTGAGCTGGTAGTGCGTCAATGTGATCTATTGTTGTTGTACCCTGCAAATGTGGCTGTTACAGAAGAGTAAGAAAATATATACCGGTATATATTTAAAAGAAAGCTATAAGGAGTCCCAAATGCACCTTTTGTCGAGCCGTGTAGAAAACACAGCAAACCGAGTCTGAAGGGAAGAAAACT